AAAGCACATATTAATGCCTTATTCTGCATGACCATATTCTAGATCCCTTAACCCTACCATATACCTAAACATAACTACTACAACAACTACCTTGCTTACTATCAATAAGCAGTAATTAGGAGTTTATTGAGAGAAAACTTAGTTAATTAACTCTTAGTTTTACTGCAACAAAGTGATAGTCTTTTAACCTCAAACCTTTGAACAATAGTGAATATTAATCTAACTCTTTATTGTTTTTTTTGTTTTTTGTTACATTTTAATTTAGATGTAAACTGAAAAACATACAGTTCTTGAAACTTCTTAAGTAACAACAAATAATTATGGTTAATTCATTTAATATCAATTTAGATCCCTTAACCCTACCATATACCTAAACATAACTACTACAACAACTACCTTGCTTACTATCAATAAGCAGTAATTAGGAGTTTATTGAGAGAAAACTTAGTTAATTAACTCTTAGTTCAAAGTGATCAAAGTGATAGTCTTTTAACCTCAAACCTTTGAACAATAGTGAATATTAATCTAACTCTTTATTGTTTTTTTTGTTTTTTTTACATTTTAATTTAGATGTAAACTGAAAAACATACAGTTCTTGAAACATCTTAAGTAACAAAAAATAATTATGGTTAATTCATTTAATATCAATTTATCAGTTTTTGCTAATTAAAAAAAGTTAGAAAACAAGCAGTTTTCTCATAATTACTGTAGAATTACAGCAAAAAAAGTTGAGATCTACTGAAAACTGGAGAGTTACCATATAGTTAACTAATAAGTTTTTAATTTGAGCCCAAGTTTGCTAACACACCTTTGCAGCCTCAACCATTCGAGCAGTGGCATCTGCAAGCAGTTTGGCAGCTGCAAGAAGCTTCTTAGAGTTGTTGACATCCACTTCCACCTCAGCATCTGATCTCATGGCATTCACCAGGTCAGAGGTCGCCTGGGCAAGAACCCGCGCCTGTCGTACCATCTCACCTATGGAACAGAATAGTACATCTCTACTTTTACACAGCATAGAGAAGCTAAATAAATAAACAAGTAAGACTATCAGTCATTGTACTGACATTGGAGTCAGTAAGGTTTTTTTTTGTTTTGTTTTCTTTTGTTTAAAGTAAATACATTTATTCTTCAAGGACACATTAAATTTAAGTGAAAGTAAAGGCATTTATACAGACTTATTTCAAGTAAATATTCAAATATCACTGTTACACATAAGAAATGTTTCTTGAACACCAGATCAGCATATTAGAATGATTTCTGAAGGATCATGTGACACTGAAAACCGGAGTAATGATGCTGAAAATTCAAAACAGAAAACAGTTATTTTAAATTGTAATAATATTTCACCATACTACTGTTTTTACTTTATTTTAATCAAATAAATGCAGCCTTGGTGAGCATAAGATACTTTTTTCCAAATCATTAAAAAAACCTTATCAACTCCATACTTTTTAATGATAGCGTATATGATGCACTCATCTTACCAGCATCACCCATGTTGCAGAAAATACTCTCTGTAACTGTCATGATGGTGTCCGTGGCCTGGTCGTAGCGTCCAATGGGTTCCCCGCGTGTGGAGTAGTTCCTCACGTGTGTGAGTAGGTCACTGAGAGCCTGTGTGACGATACCAGCCGCTGCACTGACGGCCTTCAGAAGCTCTCCATCACTGGTAGCTGACAAACAGGCCTTCACACAACCTTCCACTGAACGATCCACCAGCTTCCCTGCTTCTATCAGCTGTTCTTGACACACAGGGGAGCTGATAGTAGGGCTCACAACCTGATATACAAACACATGAGTGAAAAAAAGTTATCCACAGGTTTATTCAAATCAGTCTGTATTAGCATGTGAATGTGAACTCCACCTTGGCACAGGCCACTAGTTGGGAAGTGGAGAGGGCACACTGGGTCGCAGCTGCAATAACCCTGTTCTGCAGGACGCTGTCTTCAGAAACCTGTGCCACGTTCTTGGCCTTCAGAACCATCATGGCTGCTGCATTAGCCACAGCTTTAGCTAGGTTCATTAGCACATCCTAAAACACACGCACACATACACTCAGGGCTAGAAAAACGCAAATGTACCTTGTACCTCAAATGACAATTGCGTACCTGGAAGCGCTCGTCCGTTTCATTCTCTCCAATCTGTCTAAGCAAATCTCCACTGGCTTGACCGATGCTGCCGGCTGCAGTCAGAACCGTCTGTCGTGGCTGCATGAGAAAACACAACCACAAACGCCATTAAACATATACATGTCACTCAAAATCCTTATGGTATCAACATTTTACTGACTTGGGCTGAATAATGGCATTGACTTTGTAGAGCTACTTTGCAGCGGAATTTGAATTTGTCCAATATTTGATGAGGTTTGCATCACTGATTGTTATTTTCCTGTGAAGCTGCTTTGAAACAATCTGTATGGTATAAAGCGCTATATAAATAAAGGTGAGTTGATGGTAGTGTAAGTCAGTTGAATTATGATTCAATTTAATAATGAAATTAAAAAAATAATAAAATTTATCAAATTAAAATAAAACAACAACAACAGAAAATTCAAAATCTTTGACATTTTGACAATTAAGAAAATATTCAGAAATATTACCATTGAAAAAGTGAAAATAATTATTTTAATCATATTTGCGTATCTCCAGATGAAACCATACAGTGCATACAGAAATGTAAATGGCATACATATGTATATAAATTTTGGAGAAATGGAAACAAAAACTTTGGGACTGAAAGAAAATGTTCAACACAGTCCATCAAAATGACAGATAATGATTAATGGCAGCACATTCTTTGCTCGCACCTCTCCTGATGTAGGCTCCACAGCTTTAAGCAGGTCAGATACAGCTCCAGTGAGGGTCTTGGCAGCCCTCATGAGGTCCTGCCCACTGCCCACCTCATCCTCCATCAGAGCCGCCAGCAGCTTCACACCTTTTGACATCTCCGTCAGATTAGAGGAGATGGTGGTTATGGCACATCCTACTGCTGTATAATCTGTGTCTGTCGGGTCCCCTGGGAAAAAGAATAGGAAACTCAGTCAAATCACTACACTGCAGATGAAGCTTAAAGCTTTTCATTTTGAAAGTCCAGTCAAGGTTTTCTCTTGTATTTACAGTAAAAAAAACAAACAGTAAGTGTTGTGAAATCTTACTAATTAAATACATTTTAATACAGCCAAGGCTTTACCAGCAGTAAGATTAACCACAGAGGCAGTTCCAGCAGTAATGGCATCCACCTGAGAGTGAATATCATGCTTGGACTCATCCATCTTGTTCTGAATCCACATTTTAGAAGCCTGAAATAAGACAAAAATAAAAATAAAAAGTAATAAAAATAAAAAAGTTAAAGTAAAAACAAAAATTTAATAAAATGTTAATGGATACAGGAGAGTAAATGTAAAATTGTGTCCAAGATGTGTGCATTTTCTTACTATATCATCACAAATAAAGTTCACTTTCAAAATAAAATTAAATATTGGTAATGGATACAGGAAAGTAAATGTGAAGTGACATGTATGCATTTTCTCACCATGTCATCTCCCAGTGGTGGCAGCTCTTCCACCTCCTCTAGGTCTGACTGTGCCTGCTGCACCGCTTGCATACTGGTGTTAATGGTTCCCACGAGAGCCTGCTGGGCCGCACTCTGATCGCCCAATTAAGGATGGCAGAAATCACACATTAATCCACCAACAGATCTAAATTGTGACAGCTCTATGGTCAACCTCTATGTGTTATGTAGGGTCTGATGCTGATATGCTGCTAGACAGCAAGGTGGCCTATGATATAAGGTAAAATACTGGACTTTTAATGAACTTTGCTGATTAATTGGTCCATGAACATGAGCATTTGTATATGTGGACTCACCAGTGGTGGCATATGTCCAAGATGCATCTGTCCAGTGGTGATATGTTGTTGTGGAGAGGGCATGGTACCCATGTTCAGAGTTTCTGGGCCAACAGAACCGGACCTCAAGATCCCAGGCAGTGCCACAGATCCATGCTCTACCCGCCCTACACTGTTAAACTGCTGCTGTAATATAGTAGATCTGTGATAGATAGAGAGGAAGGGACATAAAGATAAAAGGATTGACAATAAAGTAAAGAAGTAAAGAGGTTTTCGTGTCTGTACTACAGCATTCAGGGGTTATTCAAGAAGAGAAGATGCCAGCACTCATTAAAACAGGCTGAGTATAGAAACTGTGTGGAACAGGTAACCTCAACTCCATCTAGATAAACAGAGTCTGAGATAAGGTGGTTTTTCCACTGTGAGTTTCCTGTAATGCTGTACTGGTCTGATTACAGAAGTATTTCCAAAGACAACTGGCAAGAAATTACAAAACCTTGAAAGGAAATATGGTTCTTATCACTGACGACTCAATTTGTGCGTGTCTTACTTTTTCGGAGAAACTGATTCCTCTAACATGGTGGCCTCCTCATCTCCCTCTAAACCAAAGCGGTCCTTGCTTTGTTTCTGTAGGGCCAAACAGAAGTGAATAAACACTTTTTTACAAACTTTCGCATAAGGTTTAATCTGGTAACACTGTGCATACTGTTATCTGAACACTGCTAATGTGTAATACAAAAATCATTCGGAATCCAGGAGAATCTCTTTCAGGAAAGCACATGAAACAACAAATTGTTGAATATTTCATGAGGGAAACGCAGTTAAAGGAGTAAATACTGGCCTTCTTGAGAATGATATCGATGTAACCAGCTATAAGCTGAGATATCTGCTCCCCCTCAGTGGTCTGGACAGAGTAGTAGCTCTCCTGATACTCCCCGAAATCCTGCATATGGGAACAGAGTTCATATATTATACTGTATATATATACAGGGCTCTATGCTTATTTTTCTTTTTAGGAGCGCTTGTGCTCCTAACTTAAACAATTTAGGAGCACAGTCAAAAATTTAGGAGCACCAAAATTTTATAAAAAAATAGCCTTCCCATTACGAGGTGATATTTGACT